ATATTTTCCTCTCACTCTGTTTAGCGTTGTATGACTTTTTTTATGAAACAAGTAACTCTTAAGACCACCTTAGAAGCCACTGAAAGACCCAAACATAGTTACTCACTTCAGCTTAGAAAGTAGTTCTTTTCCATAAAACTGAGGAACCTGGTTGGTCATCTCAGTAGTTTTTAGGGTCCTTTTTAAAGTCTCTCCGTGATACTTTGAAGTAAAACTTCAGTCATATGGATTTCCAGTACGGTTTAAGATACATTTTAAAAAAATGATAAAAGATCTGTCTTTATTAAGTTGGAATCTTTATCGTAATAATGGATGGTTTGTAAAAACGGAATGAGTCTATGCTGTTTGAGTTCGTGCTTTGTAAATTTGCACTATTCAAGGGAATTATTCAACTAGAAGACACCCATGGTAATGTTATTTTTCATCTTTTTTATTTTTCTTCCGTGATGTTAGCTAGTTAAATACCAACCCTCCTATTTTATTTGTCATTAAATTTTAAGAAATGAAGGCTAACGGTGAAGAAATATAGTTTTTGCAAGTGTTTTGGTGGAATTATGAATCACGAACACTCCATATTTTCTAATGAGATTATGGGGAATGGTCTTAGTCGATGATCTGACATCAATATGCTGTTTCATATCTGGGTGATGGCAAGGGTGTTCATCTGATGAACTGCAGATTAGGATGTAACGCTTAACCGGTTGTGTCATGAAAATCGGCTTTCAAGGAGATCACTTTGTCATTTTATTCACTGAGTATTTCTTTTTCTTGTTATGTGAACAGATAATGTTCAACTAATCCTACTTAAAACTAGTTTTTCCAACGGATCTGGATAGATTTTATTCGGAGAAGAAGAGTAACTAACTAAGAGATATTTACTCAGCTGAAAAACTTATCATTTACTTGTTATAACCCCTTCTTTCATAATTCAGGCATGCAAAATTACACTGAAAATGTATGGCAGCAAAATTAGTAACCTACATGATAATATTGATGTAGCCATTTAAAGATAACAAATAATTTTTCATGCGAATGTGGTCAGTGTTACCTTCGTTCCTTCTACTCGACAAAAATGAACAACCACCATGACATAGATTTTCTGTCGAACAGTGGAAAGGTGTTTGCATATTGCCTGAAAAAATCTTTCAGTCATTGGTATGGAGATCTTTAAGACACGAAATATGAAAATGGGATATATCTCAGTCGGATATGTCAAAAACATATTAACTTGTTCTCATAAAAATAGTTTTTCTATGCGACGTAACTTTTTCAGATCCAAATTCTTTTTTTCCAGTTTATAAAAAAACGGTCATCTCATGAGCAAAAAGAGTTTTGCCCTAAAAAACTTGTTCTGGTGTTCGTGTTGATTCATTTTATGGAAAATAGGAATTCTGGTTCACTAAGTTATACAAATATATCTTAATATATTCACTCTTTTCATTATTTTCAAGGTATATTTAATGTGAGTCATATGGTTTCAGGGTGAAGTCTTGGTGCACATGGTTAGGACATTGGGTTTTCACACCAAATAATATTGCTTGAAGAATAGAGGGGGAGGAATATTCAATTGTCTGCTTATGACATCTGTTATAAAGATGTTATTCAAAACTTCTGTAGATATCGCAGAATATCTAAGTGACACTTTTGATCCGTCCGAAAGATTTCATTAGAAGTAGTTGACTTTCATGATCTCATAAGCTGTTTTATTTCGTTATTCATATGTATCCTATAGACAAAGAGGTCACCTCTGGGAGGCTTCTTAGTTGCGAACCTGGGAAAAACTTTGTCGAGATCAAAGAGATCTGTTGATTACAATTTTCTCGTATTCTATAAAGATACTGATATACGAGTGGTTATTGTAAACTTTGATTACTGCTATCAGTCGGCTGGTTATATGTCGCACTTCATTTCGGATATCTTATTGAGAAAATGTTAGAGGTTCTACTCGAAGATTGGAAAATGAAAAACTGACATGTATTTGTAGGTACTTTTGTTTTTAAACGCGAACTGCACTGGTCGACAAAATACATTTAGTTCACTGGAAATCGTTCAACATTAGGGAAAATTGCACATATGATAAATGTGCGGAGAAGACAAGTACTGTTGGAAAATGAATATCTCTCTAGCGCGCTTAGGGATGGAAACCCTTTAGTGGTGGGGGAAACTCTGTTAATGGACACTGATTTTTTAGTTACATTGAAGGAAAGATCCTGCAGGAGCGTTCAAGCTAACCTCTGTAGAAGAGCTAGTAGCACGCGACAATCCACGTTGTGGCGCTCAAAATCTGGAAAGGTCATCCAACTGCAACCTTGACTAAGTGCGAAAAACCAATAACCATACAATTAAATTCATCAAAAATCCCTTTAAACACAAAACACATCAAGATATTCACCCCAATCCACAAAGCTGATTTACTTCAGCCTGTATCAAAATGTCTCAGAAACTGTCACCCGTCTAATTTATCTATTCCGTAATAACATGACATCTAAACTAGACAAATCCCTGCAGAACATAGCGTGCAAGCTACTGGATTCACTACCCAAAGAAGACAAGACGAATATAATCTATAAAGTTAGTTGCGGAGAATGCCAGGATCACCACGGTGACTATTCTAGTCGTGGGATAGATTCAAGAATTTATAAGCACTTACAGTCAAACGATATGATTTATCCTCGTTGATTCTGATAGGTGTAGGTGGATGCAATCACAACTTCGTTGTGACAAGGGAAATAATATAACGTTCAAGGTAGAAATCGTAAAAGAGTTCCTGAAATGAAAAGGTTTTCCACTGCATCCTTTTGTGTAATCCTAGTTATCATAATATAATATATATCATATATATAATATAATATGTAATGTATATATAATATACATTATAATATATATATATGTATATATAATATGATTATATAATTATCAGCATTAGCAAGCTTCGTTTTCCCTATTAAACCATACTGCTTTATCTAATCTGAATGAATTAGTTCGATAACTGCTATGCTTTGAAATAAAACCGAGTGGGTATTTTACACTTCAAAAATGCTTATCGCTGTCTGATATAGCTAACCGGGACACAAAATTGATTTCCGTTTCATTTTTGACATTAGCAATGGAAGCACTACAAAATAGGAAAGCCTGAAAAATCTTTATTGTTGACTGAGATTTCACAGTGATCATTCTTAGGGAAGTCCGTTTCAATAGCAGCCACCAGTGTTCATCGACCTATATTTTATTTTCATTAATTCACAATATATTTTTTGAAACACGTTGATTATCACATGCTGAACCCGTTCATATACATGGGTATTTTTTGAAATCTTATTGAGTTCTGAAGCAGGATAAAATAATTGTCCAGTCTTGTTCTCTAATTTGCCGTATAATCTTACTCCTCATCAGTGTGGTAAGTAATAGAGCGCGGTACATGCAGAATAAGTTATTTTATTCGTAGGTTTGTGAGGATTTATTTATTAGCTTCAGTTTGGTATTCATAATTCACTGACATCAGTTGGAGAACTGTTAAAAGCCTGAGAGCACTAGGGAACTGTTTCGCTTTAGTCCCATACTTGGAAGTCATAGCTGTCCAGTACTCTCAGATTTTCTATCATTCTTCAACTAATGTCAGTCCATGATGAACACTAGTCTGGAATAAATTGACTTTTTATATAAATGAATTAGAGGTTTTTCGAAAACCTCATATTAAATTTCGTTCGACGTCTAGCAAGTATATCTGGTATTTAGTAGTTGGTTTCATTTCACTGCAAGTTCATATAGGCTGATTACCAATATTACGTTTTACATTTGTGACAGTCAAATTTGTTATCAGATAGGTAAACACTCAAAAATGCTTAAAACATGGTGAAAAGTTTCATATATTATGAGTAATGGTTTTGAGTTCAAAGAAATTAGGGTATATTACTAATAAGACAAGTATTTAACATCTCATTTGCTAATAGAAGAAATATTGAGTCACATTTTGATTCCACATAACTGACTTACCGGCAATTAATACACAGTCTCAGGTTGTACGGCTACGATAGTAACAGTGAAAGAATACCATACACTTATTACTTCATAAAAGTGCAGTTATCTGTTATTGTCACTTTGTGCAGAATGTTTCCTATCCTTTGAAATTTTATTGGCTATCTTCATGTTTTATGATATATTATTAGTGTTTAATTTTGCGCAGCTGCTGTCATATTTCATTGACTTTTGAGTCATTTTTTTCGCATATGTATGGGGTTTTTGAACATAATGGTTTATATATTAGTCATAATTTCACTAAAGAACAACTACTTTTTGGATAACTAAAGTCAGGAGTTGCTGAGCTAATCGTTTACATTTTCTACTGGCCATGCTAGTAGATCAACCTTTAAGTAGATTACTAATCAAGTTTTATGATCAGATATCCTCACCTGTTTTTCTTTCGTCAGAAGCATTTTCCGAATAACATTCAACCAAGTTTTTTCACTGAAAATGGAAGTCATCTGTTAACCTGAATAATTGACTTTTTAGTTGTTCAACTTCGATACAGTCAACATAATTTGTCACTGACCAGCATTAGAAGATGGACGCTTTTGGAAACCATTTACTGTGACAGGATTTCAACCAACAGTTATGGATTTCAAAATTAAATTTAAGGGGTTTGAAAGGTCCATGGCTAGTTCAAAGTATTTATTTTTTAAACTGAAATGGTAAAATTTGAAGATTTCTAATAGGAAGTAAGATAAATCATTCGCTGTTTACCTTAAAAAAAGTTTGCATAGTAATGAGAATTAAAAATGACTTTATATCATACCTAAATGCTCTCAGGAGACACTGACAATCTTAACGTTTTTATCGTTTACTCACTAAAATGAAGAAGATAGATTGTAAAATATCGAAAATAAATCACTAACAAAATATAAATGTATGGAGTATGCATTTCAAAAGACGGATAACTAAGTGTCTTTGATTGCCTCAATTTTGTTTCTACGTTCTATCTAATTTATTTACATTATTATTAGGTTACAAACGGAATACCAGATCTGCGTTTTGATAATCAAGTAATCACGCTGAGTAGAGTAAATATTTCTGACGGAAATTGGCATATCTTCGAAGTAACATTTACATCAAGGTGAGAACAAAAACTTTTTGAGCTTCAAGAATTGAAGTTCTTTTATTTTCATTTAAAGGTGGAGAGTTCTATTAAGATGTTAGTTTGTTAGAGCTTATCGCTTCTGATACCCTAAAGTGATTATTTTTTTCAGTGAGACTTCTCTAAAACCTTCAAGAATATTGGGTCGGCAGGATTTTTCTCAACTTTCTTATCTGTTTGCTACTGCTTTCCATCATCAGCTTCAATATTTGTTCTCTTTCGCTTAGTACTGTTTATTTTTAGTACATAAAACTATTTTAATATGAATCAATTAACCAAAATAAGTCTTTTCCAAGGTAAGATAAGACGTCGAATGGAAGAGAAAGTTACTTATTGATTGAAAACCATCCATACACACTAATAGACTTCAACACAAACTCAAGGTCATGAGCTTACAAGGGTAGTGAGTACTTTCATAGGATAGTTTGTAGTATGTGGGAAGAAGTCATAACTGCAGTTTAAAAGTTAACCTGACAGGCAAGTTGACGTATGATATCCGGAAGGTCTACAATATGAAGAATTTAAGTCTTGGACTCATATTAGAGTTTAAAAAAATGGGATGCCTGAACCATAAAGATCAATTTCACTAACCGTTTATTGGTAGTTTGAGATGCATGTCATCAAACTATAGCTGATTAAATACGTTTCCGACTGACAGGTATCCAAGTATGAACTATCTCAATATTTTTTGGTATTCCGGTCACGCTCTATCATAAACCTTGATTTACCAAGCTGACACTTTTAAAGTAGTACAAGTTAATGTTTAAACTCGTTTTCTTTCTTTCATTTGTTATTTACCACGGGTTCATAATTTCGGATAAATGCTTCATATCTAGTAAATTATTTGTTAATAATCCTCTACACAACAAACATTTAAATTGTTGAAAATAAATCAGTCTTAGTGTCATCCATCGGAAAAAAAGTAAATCAGAAGGCAATTAGAGTTGTATCAGATGATATAAACCCACTGATTTTAAGACAAGTTAGTGACTACACCACTGACTAAAGAGTTCTTGTCTAATAAAGCACAAATAATCATTTTTTGGGACTCAATGAAACGAACTACGTTAAATGCTTTGCAGTGTTAGCTACTCACTTTCATTTACCAAGTGAAACAAGCAGCAACTAGCTTAACATAATACAGACTTCTTACAATAATGCTAATGGTTGGTTAAAGTATCTGATGGTTCTGCATAGGTTGAACTACCTATTGTAGATTGTGAAATTATTCTTGTCTATCAAAATCTGATATCTGTTGCTTCACTGAAATAAAAAAATACAAGTCCATTTCAAGTTGATTGGTTTTAATAGTGATTGCATGATCACTGTTGTTATACAATATTACAAGAACTGATAATCCACTACCTAATTTGTGTCACTAACATTGTTTTGACTTCAATTTCCAGGCACTGACTCTATTTGATTGGAGAAATTGCCTTACCCTGAAAGATGAGGTTTTACCCGCTTGCACAATTATCATCAAGTGTTTCTGATAGTACTCTACCCTTAGAAATTAAATTTTAGTATTCTCTCAAGAGAATTGGAACTAATGTACTTAAATAAGCTTATTTGTTTTCTTTTGAGAAGATTCTTAGACATAAGAATAGATGAACTTGACAAAGATTATTATGATTCACGTCATTTCTCCGATAAAGAAATTTCCAGAGGTTCAGTTGATATCATAATTGCTAATGGAGCTAAAGAAAGTGAGTCTGTCATTTGTTTCGTGAAGAATGTTTCTTTTATTTTCTGATATTTTCAAATTACATTACTTTGGTTAATATGTTTTGTTCTGCATAAAGGCGGTCGTCAAGAGGTGCATTTTTCATCAGCAACAAAATATAGTTAGCTTGTATTTTGGTATTGAGAGAAAAACATTAGTCAATTGTATTGTTGTTTGATTTGAAAACAAAGTATGTACTATTATGAAACAAAGATTGAGATAAAATGTCCAGTTCTCTTCTTTCTAAGAATGTTTTTGAGAATATTAAAAATAACAGCCCTACGGGAATACACTGAACATCTTGGTTACCAGTGATGACAGAAAAGTACATGCTGTAGATTTCAAGGTCACTACAGCAGTGAAATTCGAAATAACTTGGAGAAACTGAAGGAAATACAAGATTTATATTGCATAGTTTTGGTTAATTAGAATTTTTGAAACAGCGCAACAGTGCAGTTGTCTGAAATTTTTTCATGGTTAAAAATAAGGGCATTAGAATGTTTAAGTGAATTTTACATCAGTGTTTTTAGTTGGATCGTTAAGTTTATTTGCTTGGCCATATTTCTGAAACACCTAAGACTGGAGAGTCTGACACCCGAAATTCTGATCATGTCCTACAGATTAAAAGCTGAAGTTCCGATGGTACAGGAATCATTTCATTTTTTGACATTCAAATCCGCGATGATAGAACAGAAACAAAACTAGTCTACTTAGGTTTAGTAGAAATATTTCTGTTCTGTTTTTTGTTTGTTTAACCTCGTTAACATATCACTGTGCTTAATTTTGGAATTCCTCTAAAACATTTTTATAGGTAAATTTCAGGTTTCAAAAAAATGTGTATTTCATTCGAATTTTCTTTGGAGCGCTGCATTGTGTTAAAAAGTTCTCAATTTTTTGGCTATCCCATATAAAACAGACTAATCCTAACATATCTACTTTTTTAATTTGTAGCTTGTTTAGATGATGCTTGGATAGATTTTCGCAACATATGGCCGGATTTTGAACAAGACTATCCCTAGAAATTATTAGAAACCCAACCTATCCAAGATATACGAACTGGGGCTCAGATGGAAGACAGGTAGGATGTTCAAGTGGCCGTAGTTTTTGTAACACCACGAAAAATATTTGTGATGAAACTGCCGCGTGTATAGAGGAGTGGAGGGGTTATCGATGCGAGTAAGTTTTTGACTAATGGAAGACTTATTGTATTCCATCTTCAAAATATGTCTAAAAGATGAATTAAATCGCAGATATACCAAATTTCTTAAATTACAATTAGTAATTAATTCAAACATTAGCATTTGGCGATGATAAATCTTTAGACATTTTTATTTCCGCCAGTAATGAAATCGACTAGTAAAATGTTAAGTTACCAGTTCGAATATTTAGATCGTTATTCACACACATCAATGGGATAACAAATATAAACACTTTTGGCTAAGTGTGCTCACATGAATGCTTTTAAACTTGGTGTATTAATCTTAATAGCTTTTGCTTTGAAGTAACCTAAGTTATTTCATCAATATGGAAACGAACACTTGACATAGGTCAGAGGTGAGAATTTAGACCATTATCTTTTGTAGTCATACTGTCACTTATTTTGTCTTGTAAAATGCTGTGATTTTCACCAGCTGCAGTAATTCTTTTCTCAGTTTTTACTGGTAATAATCTCTCACTAGAATTCATAGTAGTAAGAAAGTTATTGTATTTCATATTCTTTGAAATGAGTCTCGTAGTTCCCTTTGTTAGAGGATTACCAAATCTCAAGGAACTCCAAACCTTCCTTTGAAGGACTTCCGTCTAATTTTCTTTATTGAAGCTACAATACTAAAACTAAAGTACGCCTTTATTCATTTGAACTTGGTAGAAATGTCATACGATGACCTCAGTGGAGGCATGAAAAGAAGGAATTTTAATTTACTAAACTATCTTATTACCAAGAAAATATAAAAATGAGATTGGGTGGATTTTAGGACTAATACGACGACGCAGTGATGCAATACATAGATGAACTGCATATCTTTTTATACATAGGTGTTCGCACAAATAACGAAAAAGTTTGTTTGCTTTAAAGAATTGTGATAATCAAATAGTTTCTTAAAAAAGAAATTAGGCATCCAAGACTGTGGATTAACACTTAAAAAATTGTTCTATGATATGCGTTAGTCTCTTGTAGACGACGTTTTGCATAGTAAGCCGTATGTATAGGGAAAAAGAGAATATTTTTGAAAGTATACAACTTGCCGCAGATATTTTAAAATCATTTAAAATATCTAGAAAAACCACTTTTTTTCTGGGCATACAAAAGAATTTCAACCTTGTCACGTAAATGTACATGCTTGCAAAAAAACATAGATGAATAAAAATGCCTGGTCCTTATCTCATTTTATAAAAAGGCAATAATTGTTTGCATGAGAGTAATCGAAAATCAGCTGAAAATAATGATAAGTACATAGCTCGGAATATGTTTCCATTCAAACAATCCATTTACTCAAACTATAATTATGTGCAGCTAGTTTGAAACCACTGATACACATTCACATATTCTTGAATCAGATTATTAGAAATTTCTTGTTACTGCCCGTCAGACGAATGAAGTTTTCTGTTTTCCTTTTCTGAAATCTACCATCCAAGTATATACCCTTTACTGCTGATATGCAATTAAAGCGAAAACGTCCCCATTCCACAAGCCAGCATTTTGAAGTTTCAGCTTCTTTGAGAGTTTTGAGGCATCATGGGCTGGCATCAGTTAGAGAACTATTGAAACCGTGATGGGGCTTTACAGCTGTTTTACCCCAGTATAAAACTCCTCAGCAGTCTGCATTTACGAACTCAGAACTCCCAAGTTCTACGGTGAGTGCGCTGACCATTCGTCTACTGAGTCGGAGATCAAAAGTTCACAGTTTCCAATTTCAGTCAGTTCGCGATATAGTACGACTATCACCCAAGGTCTTCAGTTGGTTCCTGCTTCCCTTCCAACTAGCTGATATCTCAGGTCACGGATTCTCATTAAGACTTTGGAATATCTATCTTGAAGCACTATTCAGTAATATACCTCCGGGTTCGCATTGGTTCTGAAACCTCAAAATTATTACCCTCACCAACCTTAAAAGTCATTCTTTAAGAATGCTAAGGTGCAGACGTTACAACGAACTACATGCAAGAATCAAAAAGGACATTAGGTCCTGGAGAACTCGGGGTTGCTTAAAACACATCGATTCAAGTAGCCATACCCCATAGCACTATACAAAGAACAAGTGGTAGAGATACAGCGATATCAAAGTAGACGAAGGTGTATGGAGAAGAGAAGCAATTCGATTTTTATAATTATTGAGAGTGCTTAAACTTTGGAAGACGTCAAAGAGTAAACCAAGCTGTGACCAATTTTCAGCCATGTAACTAGGAGTCTCTAATCATTATTTTCTATTATCTAAAGGATCCCAATCAGGTATTTTTAACCTCTATACATTGTTGAGGCCAACTGTGAGAGACTGTATGAACTTAACCCCCCACTTAACTGGCAACAGTGAGCATTTCTCCTACCCAGTCCTACTTCAGTTAAAGTAGCTCGCAGAGGTAGATGGTGGCTGGGTATGTTCAAAACTTGTCGAAGCCACTTCAGCCGATGAAGGTCCATAACCTCACCGACTGACTTACCTGCCTTACCTAGTACTTTTCGCTTAATCTGGATACTGCTCGCCTAGTGATTCAATCGTATGTGAACACCGCTGTGCTTAAAAACATGTAATCTCTTCTCACCTGCTTTCAAGAAACTGTCTGACGACCATACAATAGGACAGACAGAATAAGATATAAAACAACATATTCGTCCTTTAATGGAGGTCGAGCATCTCCACTGCCCTAATGATAGCGTCCCTTGGCTGTTGCTCAACAGACCTTTCGTATCTGATCTGAAAATTATTAAACAGCCAACACATTCGGTCTGAAGCGACTTTCAAACTGAGTGAAGTGGTTAGTTCATTCAGCTACTTCTAATATTTAAATGGAACGTTAATCTAAATCAGTCCTGAAGGGTGATCTCACATCTGATGGATGCAAAACAGATGCCAAAATACTCACATTTCTACTCAGAGCATTAATAAGTTTATAGATTTTTTCAGTCTCTTCATCTAGCAGGATGATATCATTTGGGTACTCCAAGTCAACCAGATATTCCACAGGGAGTGGATCAATCCTTGTGAATTTAGAGGTCTTTGAGATTACGTCAATGAGTATATCTATGATGAATTCAAAAAAAACAGTGACAGCGAGAACCCATGGTGGATATCACCAGGTGTCGTTGCTTCGGATGAAAACTCTCCGTTAGCCTTTCCGCGGCTGCACCAGTTCAAATAGAGAGCTTCAGTTAGTGACACATAGTTGCTCTGTTATCCCTTCATAGATATACATTATTTCTACACCTCTCATTCAAAGGGTCACATGCCATTTTTAAATCAAAAAATATGGCAGGTGTCGGCCGCTGATAAGTATGCTTATGTTGTGAAACTTGTAATAGGAGGAAGATCTAATGAATACACCCTTACTTAAGTCCGAAACTTTCTTAGTTTCCTCAGGTTTGTTGTTATTGAGCTCCATTTAAGTATCTTTTAATTATGGACTTTGAGATCTCGGACGTGACGTTAGTTAAACTCATTTTCCTTCAGTTATCGAAAAGCGACTTCTCGTCTATCCAGTAGACTCGAATAAATAACGATCCAAACCTCCCTTACTTTACTGGTTCTGATTTCCGCACATATCTTGGTACCTGCGTTAGTCTACTCAATACGTTTTTACTTCCATCCAAAAAAAACTAATAGCAAGCCGTCAAGTCCTGCTGCTATGGTTCGTTGCAGCTCAGAATCAGCCTCATCAACTTCAAAAAGAATTAAAGGAGTGGCGTCTAAGCCTCATTAAGGTTTGGGGTGAGTCACAAGCAAATGGAATGTCAGTGTTCTATTCAAAGTTTTGGTTACCTTTCCTGAGAGTTTAACAAAGATCTACTCCTTTAGAAAACGGTCTGACTAACCATCATGTTTTTCATGTTGGTATCCATGAGAAACCAAAACAGCTGCTGTATATTTCCCATAACAAATGTTTTATCCACTTCTCTCGCTTTCGCTACTCGCCACTGCCTGTGGTTGTTTTGAAGACTCTCGTTTGATTCTCCTTAAGCTGCATTTGCTCCTCACTGTGGGTAAAGGTAGCTGAAATGAGTCTTTTCTCACTAACCAGATATAAAGCTGTTGCTGAATCCGCTTCCATCCTCCAATGTTTGGGTGTAGATTTCCAGCTGTCTCAACTTGTGTTTCTGCTGTATACTGAATACTATGCAGGACTTCATAAAGAAAAGAATTTTCACCATGTTTAAATAAGTGCCAAACTACCTCTTTCTTAAACACACACTTAAATTTATCATCTGTCAGTCGAGCACACCAAAGATTCACGGTTATCTGTAATAACATGCGATGAGAACTTAAGGTGCAATCCCTCACACATCCTATACAACGATGGCTTACAACATTATGATCCATCTTAGTTTATTATTGGTTTGATACCGATGGGTACCAAGTGTAATAATATCTCGTCTAATGCACGAGGTTAGGGCAAATCAGAAACAGTTAACTGTAAGAGAGCAGTTAAAACACGATCACTGTTGTCGGTTAGTTGGCACGGAATACCGTAAATACTTAAAAAGTACCTCCTTGATCGGCTCAGCTTTCTTATTTGATCACAAATTTGTCACAAATTTGACATCTTTTGATAGAACTCATCTTTTGAATCATTTGAAGTATAGTGGGCAGAAATACAGGCTAACTATTCTAAATTGTTGAGTTTGATAGGCAAAGCAATTTATTGAATCGATCACTTTCATTTGAGCAACATATACTGAGTAAGTAACTTTGCCAACATATTATAAGTAGTACCTTGTTTTCATAACGAATTTGTTCATATCTGGTTTAGTATAATATTGCAATAACACAGTGTAATACACCTTACATATATATTTCTAAATCTGCTTGATCTACGTTGGCTTTCGAAGTGGCCAGTAATTCAAAATATTGTGCAAATGTGCAAATTATGTTCAGTTCAAATGCTTTTTGTTTGAAAGTTTCTGTATATAAATAATTCAGTAGAACAGTATACATTTTTAAGTTGTACTTATTTTTTAAAAGCTTTTCAAGAATTATGACTAATTTGATATTGATATAATTTGGAACATTTTAGATGCCTGAACAATAAAGTTAGAGATGATAAAGGGAAATGTGTTCCATCTCAGTGTTATCCAAACCCATGTGTCAATGGTGACTGTAATGTACTAAATGGATCTAGCAACTTTACTTGTATCTGTTACGGGATGTGGACTGGGCCTCTGTGTGATCAAGCGTCAGGTTTGTATACAGCGGGTCAAAGCTGGTGGTGGATATTACTTATCGTTGTATTAATTGCCGTATTATGTGAGTGGAACTGTATTTTACCTAATATGTTAAAAGGTATTTTCGAAACAATGAAATAAATATCATTCCACTTTTCTGAGTTTAATTGATAAAAAGAGCTGGATGCGTTCTTACTTCTCAATTTTGTTGCTAGACAAAATCGAGTGCTTGACTTGAATTTTAAATATGTTTCATGCAGACAACACTACTCGAGGAAAACGAGTGACTGATTTTTGATTTTGGTTACTGACTTGGATGATCGCCCATCTAAATCAAGACGGTAGGAGTAGTGGAATACAGCAGCTAAAATCGGTGGAACTTATCCTCGAGTTTGTTGATCGTAAAAAGAAAATTGTGATATTGTGTCGCGTGTAAAGTTAAGAAAACTAAGAATTTTCTCTGAACTGGTCATAAAACATGAGCACTGCAATTTTATACTTAAGAAAATCGATGTTTCAGCAATTGCTGTATAGTAGATTCATACATAAACAGGTGTACAACGAAATAACCAAAATTGGAATTCAGTCAGTTAAATAGAGCAGATACATGTCAGAAATGTATACATCCGTTTTCAAGCAGTTTTAATAACATTTTATCGTTTGTAAGGTAAGGTAAGGTAAGTTGAGTTGAACATTTATCAGGCTGTTCATAGTCCTTGGATATGTTAAAACTTTAAGTCATTCAATGTTTATTGAAATAAAACACTAAACATTGAAATGCCAAGAAAAATAATTAGCAACATCTCAGCCATTGATCCTGTAACAGACCTCTTTTGTAACTGATATTCCACAGTCAAGGGGTAGAATTAGATTATCAAATAATTAACCCAGCTTTGTTTAAGATGTCTTGGCCTCTGGCGTCAAATAAATCTAAAGTGAGGCGGATACCGGCCGAACATAATGAATGATAATCACGCTATTTCACGAGCTGACACAAGTTGGAATTACTGGAATATTAGATTCGAATCCAGCATTAGAATGACAATCTATTCACTTTGAAGCCTGGTGGTTCTGTTCCTGTCCCCATCGGATAAATGGATGTGGACATCTGAGGAGTCCTAAACCAGAACGAAACACCTCTAATGACTCCAGATTTCTGACTGATTGTTATAGATCCGTTAAGATCTTTCTTTCACTGTAAGATTTCATTTCATTCGCTCTAATTTTAACTCCTTGTAGTAATTGCAGCTATACTGATAACAGTTTGTTGTTGTAAGCGCCGCCGAATGAAGAAGTCCAATTTAATCGATTTCAGCAGTGGTTTAAGTGATCAGCAGTTGGGTATAGACAGTCAAACAAATGATCCATGGAGTTCAGGTAATATTTTTGAAATATGATTTCGTTTACTTAGCATAACATATAGATATTTTCGAAACATTTTGTCAGAAGTGCAGTAAAATGTCTTAAGGTGTTCGATACCCAGTTAAACTAATATATATATATATATATATATATATATAAACCTTAACAGTTGAAGAAAGAACATTTCCTGAATATAAATCAAAATAAATGTAATGACAGTACAGAACTGTAGGAGAGCATTTGCTTTGGCTTATCAATATACACTTTATTGGGAAGTCGATGCAGCCATACAATTTTGTAACAACACACTATAAGAAAGGTCTTCAAAGATATCCTAAGGTTATGAGCATGGTAATCATTTGATGTAGTTATTTGATTTTCATCGCATATCCACTCAGCTGTACACTCAATTTAACTGTGAGAATGATCTTGTCGCATCTCTTACTTTCATTAGTTGTCTATTAGATAGGTAGGCTGATTTTTACTCCTGACAAAAGTAAAACGATTACAAGTATGCTTTCGTCTTTGAATGACTTATCAGTACATGTTGATGATGTTAACATGAATCTGCGTCGAAAAAATACGAAACTGCTGCTGAATAATTATAGTGTCCAACAAGTATGTAAAGTCGTTTGGTAATAAAATGTTCCGTTTATTCCACACGACACGTACAAATCCTAAATAGGATATATTGAACAAGTTGATGATGGAAAACTTCAGATTTGAGCACAACTCTGTAAAAGAAATTCTGTTAGCATGGTCATAGTCAAAAGTTTTTAGTTGCTCCACAACCCCTTGGGGTGTAGATACAAATGATTTATCTACTGCTGAAGTATATGCTATATTTATTCCATATTAAGTTGTCCAGTTGACGCAACACACGGTGATGCATTATTACCTACTGTACGACGTTTCGAGTGAACTTTGTTGTTCCTGTTCAAATCAAAGCAACCGTACTACTTTCAAACTTCCTCTATTTAGTTCAAGAGTTCATTTATTTGCTTCAGTGGTGGTAAAATTTTCCATATATCTGCAATATGTGATGAATCATTCCTGTTACATGTGTTATGAGTGGATTCAATGAACAATGATTCTGTGACCAATCTCTTCTTCCACCTAGCTATATTGGATTTTAGAATTGTCACTTGTCCCACTCTGTCGTGCGATTATGAATCAATGCATGCACGAAAATAGACAAGTTTTTTCTCTAAATCACCTATCTTATTAGGGTTTATCACCGTATGTTTTATCAAATTCTTGTACTCTGCTATTTTGACTGACTCTAATCGGTTGCTTTGACCCATATACTTGACTTCAAAATCATTACATGGTACTTGATACTTGAGGTTATTTCGCTTCATTGGCTCTACTGGATCTTTCTGCCTAAAAAGTTATATTAACGCGATATTTATGTAGCCTTCAATTTTCAAGTGTTGTGCAGTCGCATGTAGTTTACAAATTATATAGTATGCAGTTTTTTCAGTTTTTGAAAATATCCGTTTTAGAAAATACTTTAACGTTAGTAAATAGGGATGAGAACATTTTCACACAACAAAAGGTTGAAGTAACTACATATTTATTAATTTGTAAAATAACCTTTCGAGTAATAAGTTCAAAGTATTTTATTCTCACTTCAAAGCTATGTTGCCTTCAGGACATGACTTCAAAATGTAAGCCTTACAATATGATATGAGCTTTCAATTCTTCAACAATCATGCATATTTTGACAATGTGATATTATGAATTTATTTTGATAGCCACTTTTGTTCAATTTCGTTATTTAAAGATTTGGCTGATTATTTTCTGCCTACATAGGTGAAGACTTCAGACAGATTACATAAAGTTTAGAAGGTGATAGTGTGGATTTCAACGGAATACAGGTTTAAATTTGTGACTTTAAAAGTTTTCTTTTCAATGTATGTGATTTATTTGCAAGCAAGCGTCCCATTCGTTTATGATATTTCAGTTGTTATGAGACAACACAACATGATGAGCCTAGATGTTTTAAACTTCTCCGATAGATGACGATAATTAACACGTAGTCTTTTAGATAATATACACTTTACTTGAATTATTATTGGTGAATAAAATGTTTAAAAAGGCTTTGACATGTACCTCTATGATTTCCGTTGAAGGTGGAGTAGCGTCTTGAGAACCATCATCTATTGTATTTTTAATGACTGATAAATGCAAAAGAAGTGAGTGAAATTTTGAGTTATTTAACTGGCATTCACTCTATTTTTTATCCTTAAGCTAAGTAGAAAGTTACCAAACTTCAAATTTTCGTCGCACTGTAAAACCTCTCCGTGCTAGTGGTATTTACTCGCGTATTCATATTGATTGACTTTAGTTACATTTAATTTATGGAAAAATGTAGGATAGTTATCGCCTAACAAATATGTAGAAGGAGGTGGAGATGGGTCAGGGATATGCTGAGCAGACCGTTTGGGGACGTCACTAGCCAAGCCAGGCCCGTGAGTGTAATCCAAGGGGGAAACGACGAGTTGAGCGTCCAGGGGTGACATGGAGGAGATCATATGAGGAATAAATGAAAGCTTGTGAGCAGTCGTGGTGCCAGGTCCAAAAGACTGAAGAGATTAAAGTGAAATGGAGACGTACTACTGAAGCCCTATGTTCCACTATGAACCTAAGGGACAAATAATAATAGTAATGTGGGATACTTATTTTTTGAGACAATTATACAACAAACTGAAAAAGATGCAAAGGCGTTTTTTATAAAGAAGCTGTCTTTCAGCTAAATTAAGCATAACAAAATTAAAGCTAATTATCTATCAAAAACTGAATTGTCTTTTGCTTGCAATCCGCTAAAGCTGATAGCATTGAGTATCAAGTGGTTTGGTCCTACTGTTTCTAGTTTTATTATGATGTCCATTACTGTGAACTCACATTCCAACGAATATAAATAAAATGCTCCACAAAGGTCTATCTCCTTTAATTTAGTCCAATAAAAATTTATGCAACTGTACTATATGCGTTTTTGATATTTTATGTTTCAATAGGTCTCTTCCCATTTTATAACTTTATTGCAATTGTAATGTATCTGTGCAAATGTATTTTAGGTGAAAAAGATTTTCAAGGGCCCATCGACTATTCAGTCCTCAAGGGAAATATAAACTCAAATCCATACAGGATAACAAACAGTGACTCTAACCATATTAATGGATATATTCCAACAGGTGTAAAACCAAGTGAGTGAAGGGACTTGATATCATGCATTACCGGGGATCTGTGTATTCTGTTCTCATAATGCCCTAACTGTTTGGTCTCTGTACGTTAACTATACCTGGCCATTAATGTCTTCTAATAGTAGGAATTTGAAGTTTTTCGGCTGGAGCAACAGAACATGTTTCCACTAACTGAAAACTCACTCATAGTTTGAAATGATAATAAGTTTTAATTCCATTCTGTGTCTCATATGTTTCCTCGAATTCGGAGGCAAACATTTCTGTGATTCTCTATTACAGTCCGGTTTTACTGACCCTTACATGTTTACGATAACAGGTTTAGAATGGTAACATTTCTAGCAAGGGCAGCAAGTGGATTGTGAACTGGCAATAAATTCCAGGTGATTAACAAAGTAGTAGGCATTTATAATCATAAGCAGCGAATTCACTTGGTTGTAGTCCACAGGAAAATCAGAATACTGGTTTATTCAGCATTTTGTCATGTGTATTAAGAAGCACTATACAAACAAGGCCGTAACATTATGTTGATTACAACGGTCTCAACATAGGACGTAGTTTTCAATGGGGTCATAATTTTCACATCACACTGACTCACAATTTCTTCTATCTGTTGTGACAGTATCCACTAAAAGTATTCACCAAAATTTGAATAACTAAAAATCAGCTTTTGAAAATATAAATGGAGCTCGATTAATAATCTAGTGTGACCTAACCGGTTACAGACAGGCAAAGAATGGATTCCTATCCATGGTATGAACAGCCGTGTTGGTTTAACACGATGAATAAGCTTTTCTGCAGTCAGTAATATCTTATAAGATTGCGTATGAGGTCTCGTTTGTGTAAAACTTAGTCACGAATTAAGACGAAGCAACTGTTTTATGATCACAAGTTTTCACTAATTCTTTATCTGACATAGTCAGCAATTAAAACTGTATCCAGGTAAACCACTACCAATCAAGCTGATTGTGAAAAAGAACTGAATGTTTCCTTCAAACTGGTGTTCATATAAAGTGTTCAAAGTTTTAGTGGAAGGCAATAATTTTTTCCAGGCAGTGTATTCAGTCGTAACTCCAGGGGCCAACTGATGGCAGTTGATAAGTGAATAATTTTCAATTCCACATCAATGACTTTTCAACAGAATACTGAACACCCTTGTTCATCTGTTGCTCCATCTACAGTAAGTTCTTGAACAAACTTCAGTATTTTGAAACCATGGTGAAACAGCTGCCAAATGCTCACGGATTCTCAATGGTTTTCCGAATGAACTCAGATGAAAATGCAAACTGTTTTTTTCACCTTGGCTGCAGACTTAGATTTTATAGGGTTGGTAGGTTTTACAGCAGGTGATTATAACTACTTTAAATAGTATCATTCCGTAAATTTAGCATAACAAATATTGATCAAATGAGCAAAGTGGTTAACAGATACTGAAAGCAAGTTGATTTATAAGGTTAAAAGTGTGAATTCTGGCTTTCAGATAGTGAGTCCAAATGTTTCTGATTTCAAAATGAATGTATGAAAGTTTGACCATTTTTATCTTAAGTCTCATACAAGTGAGATAGATCAGTTATGGTGAATGCTTTATCTCTGACTTTTTCCATCTACTTTGAAAGGAGCTTATGGAAAACAATGAAATAGAATGGATCCATGCTGTCTTGTTCAAACTGTTGTTCTTGCTGTATTTAAGTTTTATTAAGGATATGGATCTTAATCGTAACACGTATCTTTTTTCAACAGAAAAAGAGTTATGGTTTTATTAATTCACGTATACTACAAATGAACCACAGTGGTTTCAAAAGACACTGATTAGCATATTACTTTTTCTGTAATTAAAATGTATGCTTCAGGAAAACAGAAGTGATTTACTATTGTGTCTCATAAGATTTTCAATAAATTTCAGAATAACCCTGAACGGTTTTTTATAACTGGTTACATTTGTCACAAGGAAAAACTAATTAAACTCATATCATGTTCATAATTTTGCAAAATGTAGAGTTATTCTTAAACGATTCGAAAAGTTTGCTCTGTATTACTCAACAATACAACCACTTTTGAAAGTTTTATTTTTTCGCATGTTTTCAGTTATGAGTGGTAATTCGGATACACAGTCAGATCCTAATGTGACTGCCCGTGCCTACGGACAAAAGACTACAGAAATACCTCCTTGGGAGTGTTTTGATCGTCAACTTAATCCTGCTTTGAGGTTGGATCAAGTATTAGAATATGGTTATGAAGGCTACGATGGCAAACCACCACCAGAGTTTTGTCCCAATGAACCTGTTTTATCATCATCATATGAAGACGATGGTGATGGTAATTTAGAAACAAGAAAATCAAATTTATCATCAATTGCTAATGGAAAATTAAATTCTTTGAACAGGTGAATGTAAAAATATACTTTTTAGTCAGAATGAAAATTTACCGACTGATCTAAACTATGATGGTGACAAATCATCAACAAGAACGCTTCCCTATAGTGCTATTGACAGATTATTATTTCTGAATAGTCCGTTCGGACCAATACAAAATGAATATCTTTGCTTTACAAGTGATTAATACGATGCAGTTTTCACCTTTACATTTCATTATAAAATTACCTGTGAATAATTAATATTACTTTCCATTGAATTTTTTTTTATATTATTGTTTGGTTTACGGTTTTATTCTTTCAAAAAACTGTTAAGTTTCAATCTTTGATAAATAGACTTGTTTTATCAAGCAATTTATCTGTCAGTATTATAAAATTTTGAAATAAACAGCAAATGAATTTGAATAACACTTTTGTGTTCATCAAAGAGACAATGACAACTAATAAAACAAACTGAGAAATCGTTCGGTTTTTTTCTCAATGATAACCGATGAAGAAAAATAAGTTGCTTCAAATTCATCATTTAAGTGCATTCAGATTATAACAGATAAAGAGAAGTTGCAGTGACGGTAAACGTGCATGATGCTTATTCAGGTATGGTGTATTTGAAAATATATTAAAAGAACATTAAATAACTAATATAATCAATAAACTGTTGAGTCTAATCTCTGTCGAAATCCTCAAATGTCTATACTTTTAAATATTTATCTTTAGTCGGTAAACTGTGAAGTTACACTGTATGGTCAACATTACAAGTAGTATATGACGGTATATTTTGATTATTTTTCTGTGAAAGAAGAAATAGCCTAATAATGGATATAAAAAGGAATAGATAGTAAGTCACGAATATGAGGCTGGGATGAAATGCCTTTGTTTGAAGTCATTTAAGAGTTAACACAAAATTGTTTTAACAGTTAATGTGAACAAATCTTAACTAATAGTAATGAAAATCCATTTGCTATGAACTCACTGCCTGCTGTCCAATCGTAGTGACACTCAAAAAGCCTAACAATGCATCTGGTCAGTAGTCACAGTGACTGAGGTAAAAAAACATTGTCTATGTTTCTCCAAGGATGTAACTACTAATATATGCATCATCTGAGGGAAATTACCGGACAAGATATGTATAATAGTTTTTTAACAATCTGTTGAAGGCAGTAAAACCTTTTTAAACAAAGGCTTATTTTCATGAGTGTAGAAAATACTTTATACTAAGCATATCTTTCTGCTTTCATATTTACAGAAAGGGATTTCCTGTCGGTAAAATAATTCCTTTTAAGAATTTATGCGATATAGCAGCAGTGGGAACAATAAAATACCATGGAATATCAATACTGATAGACTAAATATTTGCACAATCTCGAGTAAAAAAATGAAAGCCGGGAGACTCAGTAAAGCCTAAGAGGAAATTAAATATTCCCTTAATTTATTTATGTGAATACTGGTCAAGATTTGACCGAATAGTTTCACAAAAATTGGTGCTGAGTTACTTCATTCTCAATGGTCATCACTGAAACCTCTTTTATTCGAGACTGATTTCAGTGGAAGTGTTATGAACATGAAAAAGTAAGTCATCATTTCATAGTTGTCTTAAACGTATATCACATTTATTCAGTTAAGTTTGCAAAATGAATTTTAGCCCCTGTGGAAAACAGAACACCCTTTTGATAAGAGGTGATGAAGCAAACCTTTTGGCTAAGCGATCACTGAATGAGGATTTGAGTATTAATGTTCCACCTTTAATATGATTCTTTCATTTTTTTCACAAATATACTGCATAATATAGTTTCGGTGTTTATAAAACGCTAATCCTTGTTTACAGATGAATGATTACTGAATTTTGTTAGCAAAATGTGAATGAAAAATTATTGGAAGTAAATTGAAATCTCAGATATGTACTTTTCATTCTTCCTTTCTGAATTATATTAAACTGACCTATAATTTGAAACAGTTAACTCTATTCACACCTTAGATTATGACATAACCCTTAGCACGGTATGGTTTTTCCTTCTGAAAAAATAATCACTATCTTCCAATCCATAAGTGAGTTCTGTTATGAAACAAACCATCTTTCATCCTTCATCTTCATTCTTTTATTCAACTAAAGTATGAATGGTTACATGGTTACCTTCGTCCAAGGCATTTCGCTTTCGAAGACTATGAAACCAAAAGCAGGAACATATTAAGATTGAATGAAAGCAACGTAATATTTTAAAGTGAAATATAGTACATCGTGGAAATCGTCGATCTCGGCATCAGTATTTCATAATTACGGATGTGAAAGACAGAGTTCAGCGAACAACTACGTCTATGGCGTTATCAGGCAGAAGAAGCGTGCTTAGGGCTTAAATTAACACTTGTTGTACATTCCTGAAGCTTCGGCAATAGGCAAGTGGACACCAGAATTTTGCGTCCAAAATTAAGTTTCCACTCACCTTCCCTTCAACCTAACTAGAACTTCTTATGAAATATATCACTGACCAACTTGTAAAAACCATTTAGGCTGATTTGTAGATTTCGTCAGTCAGATAAGCAGAAGTTTAGTTTTTAAGTAGTTTTTAAAATAAATATTATCTGTTGCATTTCGGTCTGTTCAATTTGTTGTTACATAGATTTTCAACTCAGATGCTAACCTCTTATTTCGAACACTTAATTTTCTCACTAGAAATTATTTTATTATTTTTTTACCGACTTTCATCTCTTAACTTTCGCCAACACTTATTCACGCCAGTTAATTTTTCCCGTTGTCCTATATTTTAATGGTTCTTACATAGCTAACATTACCAGACTACTTCGATGACCACAACCAAAAGCGTGTCATAATTTTAGAAACATACCTTGGTTTTCTTTACCGTCAGGTATGGATATTGACTACATTTAGATGCGATTGCGTAGCCTATGAAGACGATACCACCGAAAACAAATTCGTTATGCCTTACATTAATCAATATCTACAAACACTCCCACAGAAAGATAGTGTTAAGCGCTCATCTTCAAAACACGTTTACTAAACATTGAAGTTCACCAATGGGTCAGAGGATCACAATGAAGTGAGTCATAACAAATATAATGTAAATGAAAAGCAGCTAATTGAAATTATCTGAGAATTTTATACCAATTCTCTGAATTCCATTTTGGAGAAGTCACACCTAAACGACTTAAAAACCATGAGAACCGTTAAAACTACAGGTATTCTAAGTAAATACATGAACTTATGAGCTGTTATTTTGAAAGTATTGATAAACGTACGGATAAGAAAATCTATGTTTGTTCTGAAGTGCTTAAATGAATACCACAAAGGCAATAAAATTCACAAGTGTGAGCTAAATTTGAAGACTGAGTAACCGAATTACGTGAAGTGTCACAAGTTTTCTTGAAGTCAACGGTAGAAGTTAATCATTTTGAGTACATAAAATAAATATTCTACTCTTATTTTGGTTCTTGTCGTATGGACAGAATATACGTTTCATTTATTGTGTGCAAGCTATGCAAACACCCAAACACATTGCATCTAAACTGTGACAAAGGAACATATAAAAAAGCCTTAGAAAAGTTCACCCCTGATAAATTCTTGGTAGATAAAAGAATTAAGGGATCTGGAAAATTGTAATTAGCTTAGGATTTCTGAAAATTACAGTAATATGAAGTAATTAAAGATCAGTAATGTGAATGTGGCTGAAAAAGTATAGATTATGTGAGTACATTTGGGAAGGATATGGTATGGAGAAATGAGGTAATATGATTTTAATATAGTGAGACGAATTGTCACTGATGGTTGATTTTTCATCCTTAAAATGTTATTAACAAAAGGATTGACGGAATCAACTTATTTGAAGCATACATATCAGAATATATAATTAAACGTACTTTGACTTTCGTAGTCAGATGTTTCAGCCGTTCATATTTCATGATATTCGTGGGGATTCCTTAGTTCTCTCTGAATATAGTTTCCGGAATCATTAGGTGGTCACGACCAATTAAATATACCAAAAAAGTATTTGCTAGCCGTTTTATTTATTTCATGTAACATCGGCTTAGTGTACCTCGAATATAAATTCCAAACGTCAACAGTGAGTCTAATTGATATTTTTCACTCCCCAATAGCAGGGGGATTGAGAACCTTTCATTGCTACATTTAAGTGTTGTTGCTTGTTCCTCTGTTTATTCGAAGCACTGGACATCAAAGTAAATTATTTGGTGTTTTAATGCATAAGTCTTTATCAGTGAGTCTGGAAAAAGATTATCCCTAATATGTGTTCATTGAATCATATAGCAAAAGCAGCCAAAGATATATCATATTTAGACAACTTCAGCCTTACTCATTCTTCAATGAAACTTTCAGTGTTAGTTTTGAATCGAAACAATTTGAATGGAGTTATGCTTGTATCCTTTAGTTTTTGGAATGCAGATATTACTGATTTTCGTATCACAAGAAACAAAATAAGTTCTGTTTTATATCTAGAGAAGTTGAATCAAAGCATTTTTAGAGTGATCATTTCATATAAGTAACTATTTTTCAAAGTATAGTTATGACGGGTAGTGGCTAGCCATGGAATTTAGGATGCGCATTTCGCTCTATTTGGTACTCACCAGTATTCAGCAGTTACATTGCTATGCTTTTAATTGCTGTGTCTGTAAGAAATGTATAGCCTTCCCATTGCTTCTTTGATAGTAAATTAACTACTGGATGACGATTGTTGAAGTTACGTAACATATCTTTGCAATGAAAGTTTCCAGTTCGTTATCTACGTGTAACTTAAAAAAATCAGATTGGTTCATTCCACGAATGAAAAGTGCGTTTGATGTTCTTTGTATGAAATTTGTAAGTAGGATTGGCCATAATAGTGAAGAAATAAATATGCTGGTGTTCAATATTTCTAGTATATTTCACTATTGAAGAAACACGGGATGTTAGTATACAATTTAACAAGAGATCCCTTAAATATGCTTATGTTATAATCAATTTCGTTATAATTAGTTTATTTACGTGTGTAGCTTTTTTCATTAGTCAA